GGCCATGGGGCTCTTAAAGACGGAGATCACGTTGAATTCCTCGGGTAAAACGGTGGAGAATCCAGGATGGAAACCCCGTCGTGGCTCTCGCGAGAAGAAGTGACTTCCACAGTCGTGTCCTACCTCTGAGATCTGGGCCTCAGAGTGTCCTAAATCCAACAGTCAGACTAGGAGAGCCCCGGATGATATGAACAGCATACCAAATGGAAATGTGACACTTTTCTACTTCTTTGTTCAGCTTGTGGATTGTGGATCAATCAGAATCATCTTTTCCATCTTTTCCATCAGGCTCTAGAAAGGTGGCGTATTGCGGCCTCACCAGACTATCAAAGGCGGATATAGGCGGATCACTGTGACCCTCAAAGCAACCTCAAGGACCTCTGTGTGTCCTCTCTCACCGGGATGGACATGCGAGTGAGCATCGCACTAGGACCTGTTTAGTTTGCATCATTCAGCAGGTCCGGAAAAAAGGTCGAGTCCAGTCCTCTCTCTTCTCCAGGTAGTTGAAGACGCCCGAGGGTGCCAGGCCCAAGGGATACTTCAGCTTCACCTCAAAGACTCAAAGCAATCAAGAAAAGGGTTGGCAGGGGAAAGATGTCTTTTTTTGCTGGAGCAAGACCACGGATCGGAGGGCTCCTCTAATGAATGCATCTTGACACATCTTGAACCACAGTCTTCGCTTTCTGGCCCAGGGAAGCTGCAGTAACCCTTTGTCCAGCCATGCCATGCTGAAGTCCGACGCCCACCCCCCCTTCCAGCTGAGCAACACCCTTGCCGTGTTCGAAGTCTGCAATATAAGCACCTAGGGATGGGCAACTTGGACCATGTGCAAAAGGATTCGCCTCCGTGGGCAAACAAGTCGATGAAAGTCCTCGTCCGAAGAAGCAATGCCATAGATATCGTCCGGCAGAGACATCCTGTTTAGATTGGAAATCTTTAAGGAATGACTTGACCAAACAAAAATTAGCAAGCCTTGCCTCGCTGCCTCCCTCCCTACCGCGAGACCCTGTTGGATGGAGTCTCCGTCCCCATCCTCTCTCCAAGGCACTCATCTTCAGTCCACCCGAACCCTCTGTGGCTTCGATCCGCACAGGGTCGAAGCTCAGCAGCGGGTGGACCACCTTCCCACGTGTTGGCACGTCGGCGAGTACCGCAGGCTACGAGCCGCCCCGCGTCACGCTAGACCAGACGCCCACGTGACGCGTCGGCGCGGAAAGCCGTGACGAGCACCTGCCTGCAACAGGTGAGGGCCCGCGGTGACACCATTCAAGGCGAAGTGCCTTGGCATCGCAACGTGGGAGCGAAGCATAACGAGGTGGGACCTTTGGCGCTCAGACTGGTGTGTCTGCCGCCACTAGATGCTGCCGACACGTTTTCTTCAAGTCGGTTTTTGGGGATTAAAGCCACAACGTCACTACAGGGTCCGGAGCTTCACAGTAAGGGCTGAGACAATCCAACATGGTCTTTACACCATTTTACCATTTATATCATATCCATCTCTTAATTTCAAACTTTGAGACAGTTCTCCGCAGATAAGCGAAAACTCCTGGTTGAACAGCCTAATCACAGTCTTGAAAACATGTGAGCTCGCTGAAAGGTTTGAGCATCCAGCCCATCAGATACAGGCAGCGTGGATACCGCGCCTGAGCATGGATACCGCTATGAACAAGAATTTGCCGGTCTAAAGGTCTGAAGAAAAGGAAGGAAAGGAAAAGAAGGCAGTAATAGAATCGCTACTAGGAGCAAAGGGCATCGCTACGAACGGAGCAAGGACGCTACTAGGGGCTCCTGGCCTTACTACTAGGAACAAGAAGCTAGTAGGTAGGAAAAGGATCTGATGATAAAAAACCGAAAGGCTTTCTTTGCTCAGAAACCAACTGGTGCACCACTGGTGCACCAAATCACACAAAATGGATGTTCTCATGGGCATTGGCCGATCCAAGTCTTGAGGCATGCCGATACATCTCGACATGGGTCGTACGTACTTGGACTCATCCGAAGCAACTCGCAGACTCATCCGAAGTTGATGGAGCCCCTTTGATCGAGACTAAACCTAATAGCAATGGCTTCCAACCTGCAATGGCCTCCAACCTATTGAGACTAAAAAGGAAAGAGGATACCCACATCTTGAAAAAATACAGTTCATAGAGCAAAGGATTCTACTTCTGAATCCTTACAGGGCTAAGTCGTCTTTGGAGTTCTGTCCAAAAACACATCACTCCATCGTGGCCCGTGGCCCAACTTGGTCGTGAAAGGGTCCCCTCGGGCAAATTCCACTTCTTGGGTGATGCTGATTTCGCTGCTGGGTGATCCGCCCGCAACGGGCTGTGCGCCTCCATCCAAAATGACGCGGGCTGCTGCTAGGCCACTTCCAGGGGCACTGGTCACATCCTGGTCTTTGGATGAAAGGTCTGGCAACACATTGAACAATTATACAGGAACTTGTTGGGCCTGAACCGGCAAAAAAGGGCCGGCCCACCACATGGGCGTGCTTCCTGCAGTCCCCTCCACCTTCTTCGAGCAGGTCAGTGAGCGGTTTTTCGGTGGGGGTCTTCCATCTCTGCGCCCACTCCCCTCCTGGTACTTGTGCGGGATGCTCACGCGGCCCTTGATCTGACCCTGTGCCCTGTGCGCCACGGACGGTTTCGGAGCGCGAGCTCGGTCGACCGACGGAGCGAGAGTGGTCGGTGCCACAGGATCGGCCAGAGAAGGGGAGTCATCGACAGCCGGCCGGTGGCAGTGGCATCGGGTGCAAGGACAAGTCACTACCTTCCCACTACTGCGCAACCCAAAGTGAGCAGTTTGACCAAAGCTGGAAGCGATTTGAGGAAGGGTATTTTGGAAAACTCTGCACTCAGATCCACGTATGACGTATGCAAAAGACTTCCAAGTGGAAGAATCAGGTCATCTGTGCCTCACCTGTGCTCACCTGTGCTCTTTTGGACGACCCTGCTATCTTCAGTGGATGGAGGCATGGCCCGGCAGGGCGGTACTTCTGTCAGCCGTGCTGCTTCCAGGCCTGGCCGTGAAGAGCTGCGAGAGCAACAGGCTTACGAAGAGCTGGAGACGCAGCCGCATGGCCGGCCTGAGACTCCCCCCGTCTGCGCCCCACAGGCGGGCGGCTTGTTTTGGCTTGGCGCTGAACCCCCACGGACTGGGCGGGAAACCGGATGTTGGGCTTTTGAGGTGGTTCAAAGGGACTCATCTTCGTTTAATTATAGATCAAGTTGAAAAAATGCACGTGAATGCATACCAAAGGCCTTGCGTTTCCAGCTCGCCTGCAATCTACGACATGGCAAACTGTTTCGCCCATCAGGTCTCCATTCTATCACATCATCCATTTCTAGTGTCCAGTCCTTGAGCTTCCCACCGAGACAAGCGGCAGGCTCTGTGCTGTTCGCTCATTCCGAGCCAAGCTTGCTGCAGGACTTGTTCTGAGCCACTCATTGGCACCATCTGCTCAGTCACCGAAAGATCGCATGATGCCGCCAGTCCATTCCCCAAAAAATTGGAACATCCTGTTATCAACCTCGGAAATGGTATGATCTGAACCTTCTTGTGGATGAGAGATTTAAGGGTCGGTTGAGCCACACTATGTCCCTCCAACCTAATAGCAATAGCCTCCAACCAAAGAGCGATGGCCTCCAACTAGCCATGGCCTCCAACCTAGAAGCGATGGCCTGCAGATGCCACATCACATGGTACCCTGGATCGCCTTTCAACACATTACCCATCCACCTTTCCCCACATCCAACGCTTGAAACCCAAACTCAAGTTAAAAGGTGGAAGCTTGTCACCCAAAATACCCAACAGACCCAACAGACCCCTCACCGAACATGAAACCCATCTCATAAAGAGTGACCTTGCAAAATCAACACCACTCCACTCTTTCCTCCCCGCGGTGGCACCCACACTGAGGACCGCTGAACCCGCTGACCCACCTCCGCGCTCCGCAGCGCCGCCGCCAGCGTCGGGGCCGTTGGCTCCATCCAACTCTCCAGGAACCCCAGGAGCACCTTGCGGAGCTTTCTGGTAGCGACCGAAGCTACGAACGGGGCTCCTGGCATCGCTCCTAGGAGCAGGGACGCTACTAGGGGCTCCTGGCCTTACTACTAGGAACAAGAAGCTACTAGTAACTAGAAGCTACTAGGTGGAGGCCATCGCTATTAGGTTGGAGGCCATCGCTACTAGTAACAATAAAGCTTTCTGGTAACTAGAAGCTGCACTGGGGGAGTGAGATGGTCAGTTAGGAAAGGGATAGGCAGCAGGACTCCACTGGACCATTGGACTCTTAAGAATTGCTTGGTCAAAAAAAGGCCACCATAGATGTGGCTTGAGGTGTGTCGCCATGGCTTGACGTGAGCGTGAGTGGGAGATGTTGACAGAAACCAATGGCATTGAGGCATGTTGTTCAACAGTTTTTGTTCGGTTTCTCCAAACTCCGCTAAAGGCAAATACACCTGAACGCTAAAGGCACCTGAACGCCCGGCCTTTACCCCGTCAGAAGAGCACCCTAAACCCCCGGGCCTCTCTTAGTTGCTCCTCTTCTGGCAAGAATCCATCAGGAGGGAGCTTGTTGAAGAAGGCCTCGCCAGTCGTTTCATCGCTCTTTCACCAGCTACGCTTGCACAGAAGATCAGAGCTTCAAGGTATGAAAGAAAAAAAAAAAAACATTGCCCCATTGATGTCTGATTTCGAAGCGTTGTGAGAGATGACGGACGCCTGCCATGACCTTCAAATATACATACTCCTCTCAATACACGAGACTTTGCACAGCGAGCCGCAAACCCGATGTTGCTTGCGTCTCTTGTTCCACAGGAGTGATGCAGGAGCCCTTCCGAGAGCCAAATGGCAGGTTCAAAAGCAGATCTGATCAGTGCTCTTTTGAGAAAACGATTTCCATTGGTCATTTGGGATCCAACAATCCTCTGTCAGCCGGCTCTTTTAGCTACTTGAAAATAAGCCTATATACATGAAAACCAACGCAAACCAATAGCGCCTCACTGCCCCTGCTGGTGTGAGACTTGCTTCAGAATGCATGTCAGCTCTTCCTTGTCATGGTCAATGGCCCCCATTGCCTTCTCATGCTTCTCCTCTTGTTGCTCCTTCTGGCTCTTCAATTGACTAATCTTGATGTCTTCTGAGAAGCCAGGTCTGTGGCGTTCCTTCTTAAGGTCTTCAATTTCCTTCTTGAGAGAGCAAATGCTTTCCGCAAGGTCCTCCTGATCCGCTGCAGTGCAAGCCATGCCTACAAGAGTTCCGAGAGCGGTAGGAATGCCAAGTAACGCACCGCCACAAGCAGCGTCAATCAAGAGGCCGACCTCTGCTCCGCGTGCAGCACCGTTCCTCTTCTTGGTATTACCAAGCTTATCCTCCAAGCCTTGGAGCTTCTCTTCTTTTCTTTGCTGTTCTTTGAAATTCATCTCCATGTTTTTTGATGAAGTTCTCTTTGATGATTCAACTTCCTCTCTGTCTCTGCAATCTCGTTATTTAGCTTCTGCAAAACCTTTTGGTGTGCCTCCTTGGCTAAAGACCTGCGCTTCTCCAGTAGCTCCATCATCTGTCGAATCGCACGTGCAATGGCTGCCTTACCGGAAACGACCTTGTGCTGTTGGGCTCCAGACTTGTTGGTCATCATGCTGTGCTCGAAGTGGGACGAAAGTTGCTGCACTCCTTCGTCCTTCGAATCCTGTGCATTCATAGGGATGATCAATGGCGACATTTCTGGAAGCTCTTCGTCCAGAGTCTCTTTCACATAGGTCAGGTCCTTCCTGTCTTTTTCCTCAACCAGATTGTTCCAACGGTTCATGGCAACCACCACATGCGTATGATTGGCTAACAACTCCTTCAGAATGGGGCGCTCACTGTCTCGCAAGGGCTGTTCAGCATTGATTACAAGCACTGCGACATCTGCACGGCGTGCAGCTTCCATGGCTTTCTTCTTGTGCTCCTCTTGATTCATAGCATCAAGGCCGGCCGAGTCCACGAGTGAAATTCCACGCCATGGAATGAAATATGAAGGTCAGTGGTAGTGGGTCGCACTCCAACCTTGCAGTGATCTTTCTGACCCAATATAGTGTTGATGAGGGTGGACTTGCCAGCACTGAAAGCTCCCACAAACATCACCATGGGCCCCCTGCAATAGTCAGCCTTTGCCACCTCGAGCTCTGATTGGATTCTCTTCATGTTCTCTTGAATTGGCTTCTCAGTCTCCTGTCTCATGTAAATACTTGCTGTACTTGCTGCATATGTCCATCGTGCAGTCAAATAGTAGGACTGGAAGGGCTGAAACCTGGCGCTTCGCATCACACTGGGCTGGTAATTTGATTTGCTCCTGGCGCATTGGTGGAGCGTACCACATGCCCAGCGTTGCGCCTGCCACCGGACGGAGGCCTTGCCAGCCGAAGCGAAAAGCCATGGCTATAGGACCTCTGGAAGATTCACCCAGTGTGATCCGTTCGAGAGCGAAACTGAGGAAAAGAGGCATCCCCAAAAGAGGCAAATCTACACATGACCTGGGCTCTATCGGAGACTTGAAGACCCCGGCTCTATCGGAGAATTCGTGGCTCGGACTCTGAAACTCGGCCGGACTCGCCTGGGCCTTGGAGTCCAACGCCTCCGTGGCCTGTTCGCACTCAGAAGGACCCCGAGAGTGAGAGTGAATCAGAATGGGCTAAGAATTCGCGAAACCACAGGCTGGGCCAGGCTGGGTCTGTTGGGGTAGATCATTCTCCCCCCATTTTCTTTATCCCTTGGTGCTTGTCAAGTTCATGAAAATCCTAAGAAGAGTCCCGGCCAAAATGAGACTTTGCAGAAACCCCAGATGTCCAAGGCGCCTGCCCCTGCTCTTCTGGTGCACATCATCTGTGTGACTCTGTGACGTCACTTGAGGATGCAGTATCCAATGGTCATGCGCAGCCCAAAAAAACATGACATCGGTACCTCCATCGGCTCATCCACGATCATTTCGGGCTCATCATTGGCCTCGCAGACACAAGCGGAAAAGGGGTGTAGTGGTAGAAAAGAATATCTTCACCCTGTTGATGGACAAATGGTCTTATGGTGCCTTAGCAGCTCTTTCTTTGGGCCCTTTTTGCGGTGAGAACTTTTTGTAAACTGAGAGCAGGGCTTGGCCGTGGCCAAGCAGCAAGATCAGGGCACAACCAGGGACCAAAGGATTTTCAACGATTTCCAGCCACAGGTGGCTGCTCCCGCCAGCACCAAACTGTATCAGCCACTGTATCACTGGAATGACATGGATTTAACACATCCTCCATTCGTTGTTTCTGTAGATGAATAGCATTGGTTTCAAGGAGGCACAGGGCTGGATACGGCTCGGTCCAACAGCGGGAGCCCAGGAAAACGGGAGCCCGTCCTCGCCCTCGGTGCGGTAGTAGATGACGGCCTCACAAGAAAGAAGGCCGGGCGAGATGAGCATGCGAGATAGTGATATGGAATATGTATGCTGCATGCTTTATACCTATGTATTACTATATTTGTAGTGATATTATATGTGTTTAAATCGATGGAATGGACATGAAACAAGATTCCCCATAAAGGTGCCCCATGAGCAGCAGCTTTAAGATTGGGAGATGGATGCTGACCAAACGAGGGCTCAGGAGGGTCTCAGGCATCCCCCCCGGATACCTTTTTGTCCATTCTATTCATGACCTTGGGGCTGCTTGGGGTGATCTGCAGGAAAGTTCTTGGATGGCCAAGAGACCAAGAAATCACCACTCACCACACCAAACAAGCTTCAGTGACCCCCTGTGACTCCATTCCAACGGAATACTCCAGTAAAGTCATGCCTTGGCTACTCCGTATCCCCCGCCTGCCCGTGGGCGGTCGTCTTGGTCGCCACCTCCCCCCCGATTCGCCGATCGATCCATTCCTTCAAGGAGACCTCCGGTGGCTCGGGCGCGAGGAGATCGGGCACCGTCCGCAGGGCGACAGGAGCTTGGGGTCATTTTCGTGTCATGGTCGTATAATGGGGTGTGTATTTGAAAAAAGGGAACCCAAAAACAGAAGTGATTTCATGAGGTTATCATAGATGATCCATTGTTTAGTTTGTGAGGGGCTTTGAGTTGGACATTGGCGAACCATACCTGTGTACTTGATGTTCTTGACACTTCTTTAGTCTAGAATCCAGAACATCAAGATGTAGACATGCAATCTTGGAGCTTTGCTGAGCTTGTGAATGACCCTTCTCAAGCACCATAAAGGTGCCCCTTTCCCAAATCCTGGCCGTTTTTATCATTTGTTGGGGGGGTTCGTTGGGGTCCCGATCCAAAATCGATTGGAGGCTTACGTGCAAGTGGTCTTGATATCTCCAATTCTGGGCCCCTCTCCATCGTGGAGCACATCAGTAGCCAAGGTGCGCTCTTGAGGAAGGATTTCCTGATAGGATGGTACACCTTCCGGCGCAACTTCAAACTGTGCCCCAAACAGCAGAAAATGAGCTCCAACAAATCAAAGATCTAAGACTGACTTGATGATCTAAGCCTCCGAAATGTTGCTCTCGGTTTGAAAACAGCAGGACCTCCAAAGTGTTGGACGCAATTCTACACATCCATTCTCAAAAATGACGCACACAAAACCAGTGCCTGATGGCTTAAAACATGTTGCAGCGGTAGCCTTGGCAAAGGGGGGGGGTCCTAGCAAGGTTGTCAAATCCCTGTTCTATCAATCTCTTAGAGCTAAGCTATATCAGCTATGTGCTGCCAGCTCCCTGGTACTGGTTTATACGGTTGTTTATTGTGTGCAGGTTTCTTGGTGGTGGCGCACCCTTCAGCTGTGATACACTTCTTGGAACACATCTGGCCAGGGAAGCCGTGCACCACCACCACAACAACAACAACACATGCCGTGGGCACCAGGCAAAACGGCACAGTCTTAGAGATTTGGTGGGGAATAGTAATGTTCGTGTCTCTGGATGATATGCTTGATTCTCAAGTGTCAAAGACCACCACGCCTATCAACCTACGTATATGCCGTTCCATGAACAACCCTGAAACGAGATCCTTCGCCAACCAAGTGCAGGACCCTTCGCAATTGGGCGTTTTGGCAAAGTACTTCTCCATCAACTCGAACAGCAACTCAGCACGGGCGCACCAACAGTTCCCCAAGGCTAGGAACCACCATTTCATCATTTCATTCATCAATTCATCCATTCCAACATGAGAAGCTCTCGATCCTTGAGCCATAAGCACATCCACATCACTAGCACCTGCAGGTCGCCTGGTTTCACCAGCTCTTTGGGGTCACGAACGCACCAGGCCCTGCCCCACAGGTGCCTCTCGCAGTCTCAACTCTTTCTCCAGCAGTTCCTGGCGCTGTTCATGGCGGGGCCACATGCGTGTTGTGTGTGTGTGTGTGTGTTTCCATGTCAAGGTGATCTCCTCCTCAAAAAGGAAGAGTGTTCCAAATATCTGTGCTGTGTTCATGTCTCAGAGCACCTGAAGGCATCATCGGCGCAAAACCGTGCTGTCTCAAAACTCAGTGCAGCACTCTTTTCTCCGCTCTCTGCATTTGGTTTTTGATGGTCTCTGCAAGGCCAAAAATAAAGCCCTTTTGGCCTTTCAAAACCTCCGTGGCCCTCACCCTCCGACTTTGCGGCATCCCATTCCTCACCCCATCACCTCAGGCACCAGCGGCAGCCGCTTGGGCCATTTCCGGGGCCTCGGCCTCGGCCTCCCCGTCGTTCTCCTCAGCCGCCTCGTCCTCGTCAAAATCGAAGGTCTTGTCCTGCAGGCGGCTTCTAAGCTACCTGGGACATGCTGGGTACCCTTGGGGAAACTGTCCTTCTTCGACCAATGCTCATGGACACATGCCAAAATGCGACCAATGATGACCCAATGGTCGCTATGGTTTTTCTCCCAAACCCTGTGTCTCGACCATCCTTGTAGGGCTCTGGGATGGGCCCCTTGCCAAGAGCCTGGCGGAGGGCAAGAAGAACGACCAGCCTGTTGGTGGTGCTCACACCATCCGTGAGTTGAGAATATGGTGGTGCAAAACAGTGGTTGGAGCCCAATTCCGCTTTCTGGAAAGTCTTTAAAACATCTATATATGACATGCCAACCTGCAGCAAACAGACTCCCCTCAGGCAACTGTGATTAGAGTTCCACCTCAACCTCGACCAGAAAAGAAAAAGTAAAAAGACGAAAATCCCGCCTTGCACATCTTTCCAAAGAGGCCTTTGGACTTCTTGTCCTCCTCCTTCTGCCCCGCCTGAGCATTCTTCGCCAATGCCCGAGCCTCCCGGTTGTTGGGCTCAAGTTCCAGGATCTTCTTCACATCCTCGGCGCGTGATTCTCTGACAGCGGAAGTAAGGCCACTGTAAAAAAGAATAAACGTGGGGAGAGCACACCCGCTAAAAAGGAGCCCACTTGACAACAATAGATTTGAGACATTCATATAAATCAGGTAAAGGAAATGGACCAATAAATCTGTATGGCTTGGGAAGTGACAATTCAGTCCTCAGGGTTCATGTCTTCGGCCCTTCCCCACTCGCCAAACGAGTGAAATAAAAATATTCGGCGAAGCGTTCAGGATCCTTAACGCAATCCAAGTAGTTCTTCAAGCCAAACTCCGCCTGGGCCCTTCTGAAGAGTGCCTTCACGTTGTTGGCGCTGTCCTTCAGCACGGTGCTGCAGGAGGCCTTTGCATCACTATAAAGCTCCAGCTTCAACTGGCAGGCAGCCTTGTTCAGTGTGCAGGCCTTCCTCGTCGGAGCACGATGTTTAGGAGTTGGATTTTAGAATGGTCTTCCTCGCTAGTAGAGAGTCTCCCAGAACCCAGCCACGTGGACTACACATAATCATTATGGGTGAATGATGTACATTTGCTGGGAGGTTCTCCGACTCGACCTCGGACGTTCCCCTAGGTTCAAGTGGGTCAGGTCTAGAAAAGGATGGCCCTGGCCCTGTTGAGCATGTATTTTGAATTGTTATATCCTCTCTTCATGAAAAATGGTGGTCTCCAAAAAAGACATCAGCCAGCTGAAAGCACTTTCAGGCGTCTTAAGCTCAATAGCCTTGGCCTTATTCTCCTCCTTGTAGTTGTCGATGTAGCCTTGGCCAGCTACCATGTTGGACTGGACTCTTTGCTCCAAAATAAAACAAGTGACTTGTCTCAGAGTCCCCTGGTAGGAAGCTTTCCAAACCAAACAACGCACTCAACCATCTTCCGGAACCGCCTGCCACGGTACCAGGGTCGTGCTATGACTCTGAACCCTACCGTACGAAATCAACGGGAACTCGCACTTCGCTTCTCGCACAGGTTCGCACTTCGGGCAGCTGAAGAGATCTGCCACCTTCTTGTATCGCTCCATGGCCAACTGGTAGCGTGCCGCCTTGAAGAGATTGGCGCCCACGTCCTTGCGCGCTGCACCATACTCCACCTCAGAGTGAGAGGAGAGCTTGGATCCAAGGCCGAGTGAGCGAGTGGGTGGGAAATGCCGAGTGTTTCAACCGATTCAGTCGGTCTTATTGAATGACAGGGTAGTGGTTTGAAGCAGAAGAGTGAGTCGCTACGAGGTGTCCTTTTGAAAAGCTTCACCTCAAAATGCTGAGAGTAGTTCCAAAGTGATTCACAAGGTCTTTCAGAATACGTTCTTTCCAGGAAGACCACGGATTTGTGGCACAAGCGCAAATAAAATGAACCATGTGACCTTCTCCTCCTCAGACATATCCCAGGTGTCCTTGGCCTTCTCGAAGCTTGTGAGCTCCAAAGTCAAGATCACCTTGGAGTCGCCACCGTGATGGAGGAAAATGGTTGGAACTGGAAAACCCACTGGTCAAGTCTTGGCATGCCCAAGACCTCATCATCTGGATGAGGGATCCTCCATCATCCTCCCGGTTGGATGAAGAAGGGCCGAAAGCATCGAATGATTCTCTTCATGTGGTTAGAGTTGAGAGGATCTTTTTGACACCAAGTCAGTGTAAATCAAAGACTGAGCTATATAGCGAAATCACATGTGCAGGTTCACAGCTGTTTGTGACATGGTGAAACTTCCCGAAAGAAGCCCTGGGTTTGCATGTTCACGACCAGCTGGAAAGTGTACCACATGTGCATGTTGTGTGTACCAAACGAATCAAGAGAGTTTTTTCGAAGTTAAGCAGGACAACAGGATTTCAAACTTCTTGCAAACACCTACAGAACTTCTTGGACTCCAAACCTCTTCCCAATAGTTCCCAATTCCCCCAAGCACATGCCCCCTCGCACCTTCTCCGAGCTCTTGAGCCCCAACTGAGGTTCTTCACAGCCGGCGACCGTCAAGACCGCCCTCTCGCCCTTCTTCATGGCGCTCACGGCAAACTCCAAGGCATCGCACACGTGGCCTTCACCACAGGTGAACTCCTCGAGTTCTGCGCCGAGCGATGAAACAAGTAGTAGCGATGCCCTTTGTTACGTTCGCAGCTTCTTGTTACTAGTAGTAAGGCCAGGAGCTACTAGTGGCGTCCTTGCTCCTAGCAGCGATGCCGTTTGTTAAAGTGAAGAGAAAAACACCTCCCGTTTGACGTGTAGGGGACGTGTCGGGGACGTGTCTGTGTCAGTCAACATACAAGGAAAGTATTGGTTTGGGGGTCCAAAAAATTGAGCATTTTCTCCGCCAAGATGCTGTGGAAGGGTAAGCCCCCCACTTCCAAATATATACTGGGGCTCCAAAATCTGGGAACTCAACAAACAACAAGAACTCTTCCGGAAAACCCTCTTCGCCCGCTCTTCCCGCCCTCAATACATCCGAAGTCTCCAAGGTCTTGGCCGCAAAGCCGGCGAGGTCCCCGGCGGTCTGGGCGCTCTCGACGTTCAGCACCACCTTGGCCGCGTCGTTGGGCTTTTCATAGCCCTCGCCTGGCACAAAACGCGTGCTTTGCGGTGCTCGGCAGATCGCTTCTAGTAGCGCACTTGCTCCTAGTAGCGATGCCAGGAGCCCCTAGTAGCTTCCTGTTCCTAGCAGCGATGCCAGGAGCCCCTAGTAGCTTCTTGTTCCTAGTAGCGATGC